ATTTCTATTAACTATAGCAGATGTCGCAGTTTGTTTCCCTCCTATAGAAATCACTGGTGGCTGCTGCTGAGGGGGCAAAGTCCACACAGTCCACACTTGGATAGGAAAAGTACTCTGACGTTCTGAGGGTATCTAAGTGCTCTGCCTCGCAGGATGCACAGTAGCAGACGGAGGCAGTGGCCGAGGAGAAACAGTTGTACTGGGCGTGCGAGGGCAAGAGATGGCAGGAGTAGTCTTCTGGGGGGTAGCCACAGTTTCTGCTGTCCAGAGAAGGGGGAGAATTGTAATTCTCCAGAGCATATGAAGGCAGCTGAGCCGGTGAGTAACTGTAGTCTAAGGAGCCAGAGAGCGTGGAAGAATCAGAAGGTGATCCCGGGGTCTAGAGAAATGAAAACCAAGGAACAAAGAGATTGATAACATAGGATCAGAAGAATGGAACAGTGTGGATTTATTAATGCAGAGCAAGAAAATTAGGAGTAACAAAACAAAACAGAACACCCAATCCAAGTCTGCAGAAGTAATTTTACTTGCGGACTGCATGATTTCATGACAACACATTTATATATACCTGTTTCTTTCCCAACAATAATTTGCCTTGCTTCACTGGCTTCCTTTGTTATAACCATACTTTAGAGAATGTTTTGTTCTGAAACCACAAAATCCCATTGTGCTTCAAGTCACCTGCACATCAAATCCTGCTGTGTGCCACAAAATACGTTGCAGGTGGCGCCTTGGATGTTTTTCCACACCCTTGACCATGAAGGACCAGGTGAACATGAAAAGGTAGAACTTGGATCCACAAGGACCCAGCTAATCCAAGACAATAAACTACCCTTCCCACCACTAAAGTCTTGCCCCCTGAGGAGAAAGGTACTGTCTGCTTTCTCTTAAGCAAGTCTACAACTGTTACTGAGAAAGCCCAAGTTGGAGGCTGGAAGCAGACTGGGTGATTGGGATCCAATATTTTCCCCATGACGATATGCATATACTGCAGAGTTAATTTCCTATCCTCTCTAAAATTTAGTCTGATGCCTACACAGACTTTTGACAGACCAAAAGAAAAAAGTATTCACATTTCTTTAAAAAACCCTACATTTTAAGGCTTAAAAAACCTATAAGCCTCTAAAAGACATCTAAAGCAACTAGTGTCTAATAATGGAAACCTTACTTCATTTT